GAATTTTAAATATAAGGTGACACAAAAGTCGGTTAACCGTATTTTTCAAGCAATTCAACCATTTTTGAGCATTTCAAAACATTATAATTCGTGTAAGGATCGCTTTTTGGATTATATTTGTAGGGTTTACATATAATAAAGTATTTCAATGAGAAAACATTTACTTTACAATATTTAACTTTCGGCCAACATTCAAATTATTAAAAAAAATGAATGTACAATAATCAACACTACATACAGTAGACCCTCCTATAATACTGTAGATAATTCCGTGTTATATGAATTCCATGTTATACGAGTCACTTAGATTTTACAAAGACATGTGCCGGCTTACGTATTTGTAAAATCTAAGTGACTCGTACAACATAGAATTCATATAACACGGAATTATCTACAGTGTTATAGGGGGGAGGTCTACTGTAATGAATTATTTTACTTTTTCAGAACCGAAATTAATTATTTAAATTAAAGTGTTAATCGGTTTTTCTTTTGGAATCAAAATAAGCCTTTAAAATAGATTGAAATATCAGATATATAACATTTTGATCAAAGAAAATTTTACTTTCAAAAACTTCATTCCATAGTTTGGCTACATGCGTGGAGTTGGATTGCAGAAAATTTATTTTAAATCTTGCCGTTATCGTAAAAGACCCAAAAAAAAAAAAAAATAAATTTTAAATTCCAGACTATTCGTGCAACAATCAGATTTTTAGATAGTATGCTGTATCTTATATGTTATCAGGCTGAACTGTGATTTACGATTCCATTTATAGAAGTTTTCTGTTAGAAAAACTTTCTATAAAAGATGTTATATATGATTTGATAATATAAATTCTATAAAATTACATAAAGATTTTTTTGTTTAATAATTAAAAATTAAAAATATTTTATTAGACAACATTTAATATTTAAGAAATAAATAGATAAATATTTTATACATCATTAGATTTGAATTTAATAACTCGGTTCGTAATTGGTGCATAACGTTTAGAATTTGATCTAGAATTAACTTTAATCTGGAATCGTGTGTAAATTTATTTGAATAAATTATCAATAATTACTAATTAATATATGAAGTATAGCTGTTAGGTATATGTGGAATAAATTTTTCTTCGTTCGCTCTTAAATATAATACAATAAATTGCTCAATCAATTGTTTTATTAATGCTTCAATCAGTATTCGAATGGAAGATTAGAATACATCATCCGACATTTTTATATGTATATTAAATGGAGCATGATTTCATCCGAAATTTTCTCTTGGAAAAATGGTTAAAACCTCCCAAGTAATTATGTCACAAATATAAATCGATTTTCTCAAAATATAGCAATCAGTAGCGCAACAGTATGAAACCGAAAAGAAAGTGTCGGCATGACTACGGAGCATAGCAAATCCGTAACAGGTAGAGTCAAGCATGACATATTAAACACCAATCAAGTAACGCTTCACGATATGTGATTTACGAGATGATAATATTTCCGGTGAATGTGCATCATTGAAACGAGGTTAGTCAGGCAATTACTGAAGAGATAAGGTCAGTGGGTCAAAGTTTCCATGTTACTTGTCGGGCGCCACCCAGATTTGAGTGCCGGCGGACTGTTTGTTTTGTTATTTCACCTCGTGTAATACACGGCTTATCTCTTCTACATCGCTCTTCAGACATCTGTGATGTAATACCTCGACCCAAACAGAAATCTGAACCCATAACAAGACTGTCACCTTTCTAGAAAAGGGTAGCAAGGACATAATTGTTGAAAAACAATCCTCAAAAACGATGATAATCTTCTGACATAAGCAGCCATCGTCGTCTAGTTACACCATTCGACTTTAAAATCGTAACATTTTTTGCATATCATTAGTAGCATTATAACAAAACCCACGTAAAAATGGACCTTGAAAAGTTTGGTATTCATTAAACGTAGGCGATCGACATTGCTATGGCGCCAGGAGGATGAAAGTAAAATATTTTGTTATTTTCTATTTCCTTGTAAAGTTTGTAACAAATTTGGATCCTTACCAAAGACTCCAACGCCCGTCTTGAAGCAGGTAGAAACGCCCTGAACCAAAACAATGAATATTCATTGATCGTCTCTTCTCTATATATCTAGTTACTATGGGAACGGCAACCTCATCACTATGAGGCTTTCGTGTAAATCGCAGAACAACATATCGATAAACAGTGAACGAAACGTCGAGAGCTCATTAAATAAGACAAAACATTTCTAAAATTAATCACCGACTTAATTACCAGAATTTCCTGTTTTTATATAACTATTCTCAATGCGAGATTCTTATTATTTTAATGAGTCTGTAACTTTATTTACTACAAAAATAACTAAATTCTGATGTTTGGGGGATAAAAAAAATGCAAACTTGCAATATTCTAACTTTTTATTTCGGTATATAAAAAAGAGCATTAATCTTAGAGAACGGAGTTTTTTTTTCCTTCAAGCTTACAACTACGAAACACACACATAAATTAGATTTATTTGTATAATAATTCTAAATAAACTGTAAAAATTAAATTCAAGAATCATTCATATTTATGAATGAAACTAAATCTGTCTTAAATATAAATCCTGTTGTTAATCCATCGCCTAACAATATTTATCAAATCGTATACAAGCTTCTTTTATCAGATTTAAGAGAGCTTAACCGCTGAAATCAAACTCGACTGAAATTAAATCTTACGGGTGAGTGCTTGATTCAGTTTGCAATTCGCTCGGGTCAAAGACTAATTAGCTATCAGGGTCAGCTCAGTATCACACAGCCAAAAAAAAAAAAGTAGAAAAATAAAAGAAAATATCAGAAATCGAATAATCAAAACAGTCGTGCAGTCGTTAATTATAGTGCTTTCGTTTCAAAGTTTAAACTTATAAAAAAAAAAAAGTATTTTTTTAAATCTAAAAATTCGATCCCGATAAAGAATGTCAACTGTGCACACAAAAATTAAATTTGTCTATATTCAAAACTTAAACACGGATTTTTTTTTTTTTTTAAGTATTTTCGACCGATATTCTGATGTGAATACTAATGTTCAAAATCTCTTCGGCCGTTTCCTCTCCCTTACAAATAATGGTTTGGTCGTTGAACAGTCCCAGAATCCAAGAGTACCATGTGGAAGGGTGTTGGGTTACAACACTTCACATATCCTACCGACTGTTTTCTATTGGACCCAGCTGCAGAAATTCAATTTTTGGATATCTAATTAACAACTTACAGAACTGATACAATTCGGTACGATTAATTTTTTAATAGAGGAACGAATCTGTAGTATAATTTTAAATATACATTTTAAATCAAATGTCAATAATTCGTACGAATTATATTAAACAACTTCCATCTTGGAAAAAATTTATACGTTTTTTTTTTTGATTAATTTCTACATTGGTCAAATGTTTGGGTAGAGAGTGTCGTCCATTTGGTAGCAATGTTCTACGGCAATGGAACAATAACCCGTAGCTGTGTAGGAGATTTGGAATGTTCGGCGTCGAGGCCGTTCCACCCTTTTTACTACATGCGAAGAGGAAAACGTAATCAAGCCATTTGGTCTCATTCAAAAGACATACTCCAGGGGAACATTAGGAGAGTTTCCAAAGTAGCATCGAAGATGGGATGTCACGTAGACGTAGATGCGAACTGAAGCAAGGTGGATACGGAAATGGGGAAGGGACTAGGTGCATTTCTCGCACGTGGTGCGTTGATCGATTATACCGTCTCTTTCCATTTCGATAATAGTCGGAGATAGAGCGGTTGCGAGCATCTTTTCACGCAAGATTCGTTCTCCGCTTTAAGAAAATGAATGCGGCCAACAGATGGATGAACAATTGGATTTATGCGGTTATTTTTCTTCCTGCTGCAGAATGTGTGGAGGTGATAATAAATAATAGTTTTTTTTTTATCTTACAATAATCAGTTAATAATCACTAGGTATATAATGGAACTCGACTGTCTAGAGCGGCGCGAAATTCCATAAAATATTTCCGAGTTTCAGCGGCAATAATACATAATGTAAAACAAGAATGCGGAGGAGTCGTTTCGGAAGGAACCATTCTTATTATGACAAAAACTCGGAAAATTCCGAATACGTTATGTAAAATAAGCACCGTCTTGAAGTATGTCTAAAAATAAGACATCTTTACATAGCAGCAAACTCCTACAAAGATCGGACACTCAAATATAAAAGAAAATAATAATAATAATAAATAAACTCGCGTGCATAATAAAACATTGCTATAATTTACATATAAATAATAAGGAATATTCTGTTAATTTTGTTTTTAATTATGACTTAGTTTTTTTTCGTTTTAATATTTTCTTTTCATTTGTAACAGACAATCTCATCTGCATGATGTTATTCTTCAATGTGACAAATTAATCCTGCATATATTTGAATCGTAAAGCGGCAGAACATGTCCACAAAAAATTACTACAAAGCACGAAAATAACTTTTGCCTGGACTCTACATAAAATATTATATGTCAGAGATTATATGCATTTACAAATATTCTAAATATATAGCCTATTTCAAACAACTATTCGAGGAAATTTAAATTTTCTATAATTTGTATTAGACTTTCAAACGATTTTGTCCATTAAGTTGCTGAATAATAGTAAAAAGTTCACAACCTTTTCTAAATTGATAAAGATGTTAAATATATATTAATCGAGTTAAGCTGGGAAACATACGTGTAAGTATATATATATATATATATAACAGGATGTATAAAAAATCCTTCCGAGCAGGAAACTATTGAGATAACAATCCAAATTTTGATTACACTTTATCCTTCCGGAGTTTACTTCCGATCTTTGAATTTCTTACAACAGCGCTGGCGTTTCCCTCCTTCGGAGGCCCCATGTCAGCAATTCACCCAGGAGAAAGAATGGGACTAACGGAAACACGTGACCGAGAGGTTTTTCTTCCCCGAATGACCTCTGACACCGGGCCCGTGGCTTGTCCTACTTAAAAGTTACACACACACAGAAGGCAACTCACCCATCATTGTCCTGTATGTTGATGTTGAATCGTTTACCACTTCCAAGAAGTTCTGTAAAAGAAAAAAAACAACACAAGATATTATTTTGCAACAAAAAATAAATTAACATTTATGTTTTTATTGACTTATATATATATAAAACGTATTATAAAACATACAGATCTTTGATTTATTCATTTTTTCAATACTGTATATAATTTTTAACTTTGAAATAATTTATCTTATATAATCTATTTTTAAATAACCCAAACATTTATTAAATAATTCAATATGAAACGAAATATTTGTGATGTAATTAAATTATTACAAAGCAACTAAATGTTTTTCTTTCATAATTAAATATGTAAATTGTCTTTATCTCATTAGGATTTATATTAAGAGTTTTGTTAGAATTAGTATTAAATACTTAACTGCTTAATTCTGTTTTAATAAACTTGTTCAATTATTTTATGATGTAATTTGATTTTTGTATCATTATAAATGCAAATGTTCCTACAGCAAATTTTTATCTCTTACAAACATGTCTGCAGCAACAAACTTTCCTCCTCCCAGAAGAGCAATGAAACTCAAGGTCAATAACTGTTAGAGAAGCTCCTGTTTCAATGAGTTCTGTTAAACAATTGTCTTTCTAAAATCTATACTTTTTCAATATTTGGCAATATAAAAATAAAAATGCTACTCAAAAAATTATAATCAAGTTCTTCAAAAATATCTTCAAATTAATTCTGCATTGAAAAAAAAATTAACTACAGTTCGAATGTTAAATTTTACTTTTTTTCAAAATTTCCTGACTTTATGTTGACCACATGAAATCTACTTTCAATACATGAAAGAAATTTTCAAACTTTTACAAGTAAAAAGCCAGATGGTTGGATGGGTTCTGAGGGGGAAAAAAAAAATCAATAAGTGAAAAAAGGATCAATTTTATTTTTATTCTAGTGCAGGTAACACAGAATTACAGTCCCAACAGAGGTAAAATTTTTGCTTCTTTATTTATTTCTTCATGTATTATAGTCAAAGTTTAAAGTAGGTTTGAAATGCAACTAAATTCAAAGCAGACTGAATAAAAATCTGTTTGTTGATTTCTAAATAAATGTACAATAAATATAACAACAAACTATATTTTTTTTTTTTCTTGAAAAATTTCTATCATTTAGATTGTAATTTTCTTTAAATATAAATTTAAATGTTTCAAGTTTATTAATGAAATAATTACATCTGAATATAAAATAAAATCATTGCAACTTGTTAATTAATATTGAATGTATCACAGTGTGACTCTGTAAGAATTTAACTTGAGATATAAAATACTTAAGATAATTTTTTTTTCAAAAATGTTACTCCAATTTCATTTTAAAAAAAACAGTAAAAATAAAGAAAATAATTAAAAAACACAAATTATAAGAAAAGAAATTATAACTAAAATATTAAATACAATAATTATTATTCATACTTTCAAATTCGAATGGAAAAATATGTTAAAAAATGTAAAACACTGATTGACATTAAAAGGAAAAAAAATTTTTCATCAAAACAACTCTGTTCCATCTCTTTTAATTAGATATTTTGAAATTCTAGGTAAAGATTTCATAGATTTAAAATTAATCAAAAACTCAATTATTTAGAATGGAGATAAAATTGGATAAATTTCAAAAAACTAATCACTTTTTCATATTTCCACTTCTAAAATTAATTTCTTTTCACAGAATACCATATTTTAAATTAAAAAAATCTACTGAAACCAAAATTTTATTATTTCTGATAATTTGTTTTTAGAAAAGCAAAATATATATATAAACTAATATCTATAATGGGATAATTGTTATTTATGCAAATAATAAAACATTGTAAATTAATTACATTTAATTATTTTCAAAAAAACCAGAAATAAAAATTTTATTCCAGGTTTTTGAATTAAAGAAGGATTTAAAGGAGTAAAGAATAAAATTTAGACATTTACCAATGATTTATATGATCAATAAATATATTCTTATTTAATTAAAAATGAAATGAGATACGATCATCAACTGACATTTATCATCATCAAAAATAACTTTTCAAATTGATTTTAAGATCTATTGTCCGTCTCGGATGATAAAATAAAATATATTAAATTCTTCTACAATTTTATGTACGGTATGTACTTGCACATGTATTTACTTGTATGTATATGAAAAATTGTTATATGTATATGTATGTTATATGTTAGTATGTTATATGTATGTGCAAAATTATATAGCGTACATTTAATATTTATAAATTTAAAAAAAAAAACTCATAAATTAATAAAATTTATTATTTGATTAAAATTTTTAAGATGTTACGTTAAACAAAAATTAAATTTCAATTTTTTATATAATTCTGAATAATTTAAAATAGAAATTCAAAAATATCTTGACATGAAATTTTAACTCTATTTTTATTATATATCTAGCTTGACATATATATGAAGAATATTTAAGAATAAATTCAAGTAAATATTAAAAATTATTCCAGAATTCGAGCCAACTCGGTTACCTCGTTAATAACTAGAATATGGAATATCTCCAATTTCAACTAAACACTTATATATATATATATACATATGTAAATGTATAGTTATATATATAGTATAAGTGTATATTTGTTATAATAAATAACTATAACAAATTTTTATTTTACATGATATTTTACAATAATGATTTATTCTGCATGCAACAATTTTACATTAAATATTCAAATATAAGCATAATATATATATATAAAGTGTATGAATATTGATAAACTCATATTTAATAATAAATAGTTTCTCTAGAATAAATATGCATACATACATATAAAATTCAAGAAAAACTTGGCAATCTATACAATTTATCCATTTCGATACTGTTTTGCTATTCTAGCATAAACTATATTTTAACATGTATTCAATATATCAAAATATTTAATATTTTAATGTTTAAAATAATAATTTATACATTGCCATTATTTTTTTTGGCAATTAATAATGAATTTAGAAGTCAAATAGAATTTTTTTAAGTTCATTTAATGAAAAAAATTTACTTAATTAGATAAACAATAATAATAATAAGATTTGATTTAAATATTTGCTTCACAGAATTTAAATCTTTTTATAATAAAGGTATATAAAATGTATTCATTTTTTTTTTTCATTTATAAATATACCTTAAGATCTAAAATTTCATATGAATTGAAATTAAAATTTATATATTTTTTTAAAATCAAAATGATATATAATAGACAAATTTATATACTTATTAAATGTGTTATTAAAAATAAATCATTACATACACAAACTTTTTGCCTCTAGAATAAATAGATATGAATTCATATATACTATATGCTTTTTTTTTATTATTAATGTATAAGGTAGATTTATATGACTTCATAATATAAAATATTATCAGAAGTATAATAAAATTAAACAATTATTAATCTTTCTTCTTAATCTAAACAATGAATATATGGTGACAGTCTTACTATTTTACAGAGATAAATTTCGAAGATAGTTAAAATTAATATAAAAATTCAAATAAATTTTGTAATTAAATAGTTACGTTTGTTAAAACTGATTAGTTGAAAGTGACTCAAACATTCTTTCTGAGGAAGGAGGTTTACCATTTCATATTGATTCCAATTCTTTTATAAGATGATCTTTATAATTTGAACTCTGAACTTAGGTAAGAATAAGCATTAGATGATGTGATTCAATAGGAATAGAAAACAAAATGTGATGAACTATAACAAGAGACTAGCTATGCCCTTTGAATTTGGCTGAGATTACTTATATTTAAAAAAAAAAAAAGTGTATAGATTTACAATGAAAGAGAAACACTTGCAAGAAATAACTTTAAACAACTTAATAATCACTGTTGTAATTTATTCATTACTTACTATATGTATACTTAATTTCAACTTATGATTATATCTATTTCATATTAACACATAACACTACAATTCATCAGATTTTCCCACTCAGAAAAGAAAGAAAAAAAAGAATATTTCATTTAGAATAACTCAAAGTTTGATAAATCTACTGAAATGATTTCAAATTAACGTAATGTTTTCATTTGTTTGCATTTATTTAATCTGTTCGTAGTTATTATGATTTATGAGCCACCGTAAGATACTTATATTTTTAATCTAATAGCATTTAAGACTTTATTTTTGGTTTAACTTTGATAAATTTACAGAAGATTTGAAAATTTTTTCAAAAGAGTAAATTCAGCACAGACTACTGCCTGGAAAAAAAAATTCTCACAATCAGGAAAATATATAAATGAATAATAATAATTAAAAGACATTATCTGTTTCATAAATTACATTTTAATAAAAATAATAATTAAATTTGAGTTGTTTTTTTTTAATTACATTTTATAAAAAACTAATTTTATTCTGGAAATTTGGTTTGTTTTCTGAAGGTCATCTTCATATAAATTTTTATTTATAACTAAAATAATAAATTTATAACTCAAAAATTACTTTTTATAATACAGTACTGTGACAAAATTAAATTTGAAAATTTAGACATGTATTTTATCTCATTTTTTATATCTAAAACTGATTAAATTTAAAATGTATTTTATGTACACTGCAATTTAACTTTGTTGACATATAATCTACCCATATAATCGTATGAAATGACTTCCGAGAAAGCTGAAATATATACAAGCTATGCATTTATCTCTAATTTAAAAAAAAAAAAAAAATGATTCTCTGTACCAAATAAATTGGAAACGTTTACATTTATATGTATGATATATATTTAGGATTTGATTGTAATGGTTTAAATGAAATTTATATATATAAAAAAAAAGTATTTTAGATAATAGATATTTTGCTAACGAATTGAATTAAGAGAAAAGATCATGATACAAGAAGCTGACTTCTGATTGAAAACAAAAGTGTCATATTAGTTCCGTAGTGGAAAATTTTTACAAATGTCGTCTTAAATAGGTGTATTCCCGGACTACACGTGTCAAATGGGAATCTTTTATCAAGGCAAGTTACGCTTGACACCATCCTAAGTGCGTATCATAGCAACGAGCATG